TATATGGTGGGTGAGGATGGGGTAGATATTAGATTTCTTTTTTGTTTGTTTGTTTGTTTTGTTTTGTTTTCGAGACAGGGTTTCTCTGTGTAACAGCTCTGGCTATCATGGAACTCCCTTTGGAGACCAGGCTGGCCTCAAACTCACAGAGATCCGCCAGCCTCTGCCTCCCGAGTGCTGGGATTAAAGGCGTGCGCCACCACTGCCAGCTTAGATTGATTTTTGAAAAGAAACAAAAAATTGAGGAAGTAAGGTATGGGGTGTCAGGATGCTGTTAGAGTCCACAGATTCTAGGGACTGTTAAAGCTATAGAAAGTTACAATTCAAAAGTAAAAGCTATGAAAGGAAAAGGCTGGAAGAGGAACAGACATAGAAATAAGAAAGTATATGAGCCGTGGATGAAAAGTATAGTAAAAGCACTCAGGAGGCAAAGGCAGGCAGATCCTATGAGTTTGAGGCTGACCTGGTCAACATAGCAAGTTCCAGGACAGCCAGGGCTGTGTAAAAAGACCTTGCCAGGGGGAAAATGTTTAGTAAAGAATGACTTATAGGAGACTGGCTGGAGAAACATACAGAATAATCTTAAAATCTAACTGAGCAATATACAAACTAAAGAAAAACCATTATGACACATACATGCAAGAGTGGAGGTTAAATAATAGAAAGGAAGGAATAGACAGCATACTCATCTGTGCTGAGTCAGGAGACGGTCTTCTCAGATGGCCTCCTGTTCCTGCAGACTCCAGCGTCGTGTGTGGGAGAGCTGAGTGGGAGCCGTCTGTCTCTGCAGCCCGGGTTCTGGCAGTTCCCTTGACCCTGCATCCTCTTGAGGTCTGTTCTAGTCCTGCAGGTCCAGGGTATGTGAGGAGGAGCAGCACTTCCCTTAAAGTTCCTTTTTCTTTTTGAAGCTCACAAACAATTTTATTGGAGTTTAAAAGAAAAACCGCAGAGTAGGCAAATCTTAAATATCTGAAGTTTCCCAGAGGAAGGAGATGGAGAAGACAGAAAGCCATGGCCCTTTGAGTTAGGCATGGAAGTTTGACTAGCAGGCAGCCACATCACAGGAAGCAGCCACAGGGCAAAAAGTGGGCTCGTGGGGCTTTAGAGCCAAAGTGAGGAAGTTCAAAGTGTTAGGGAAAGCACACTTAGAAAAAGAGAGAAAAAAAGGAAGGGTATACTTCTCTGAGTAACTGAGAGCGTCAGGCAGGCTTACAAAGCTGCCTGGTTGTGGTTCTGGAAGCATTTCAAAGAGGGCTGATATTCTGAGAATGAGAAGTATCTCATCTCACTAACGGTGAGCGGTGGTTTGCATGAGAATGACCCCCATAGTCTCATAAGTCTGAATGCCTGGTCTCCAGTGGGTGGAACTGGTAAGCATTAGGAGGTGTGGCCTTATTGGAAGGTGTGTCACTGGGCTCTCTGGTGGTTGTGGTTTGTGGTGAGCTTTCGTGGCTGCTCCAGCCCCATGCCTACCTGCTTACTGCCTTGCTCCTCCTCGCCATGTTGGTCATGGACTCGCCCTCTGGAATGTTAAGTAAAGCCCCAGTTACATGTTTTTAAAGTTGCCTTGGTCATATTGTTTCATGACAATAGGAAAGTAACTAAGGGGCTGGAGAGATGGCTCAGTGGTTAAGAGCACTGATTGCTCTTCCAGAGGACCCAGGTTCAATGTCCAGCACCCACATGGCAGTTCACAACTGTCTGTAATTCCAGTTCCAGGGGATCTGACACCCATGGCAAAACACCAATGCACATAAATATAATAAAAATATTAATAAAAAAAGAAAAGTAACTAAGATACTTCCCATCTCTTTAGCATGGCTTTAGGTGAACCTACCTTTCTGAGTGGTTGGTCATGCATTGGTCAGGTGACTGACCTGTCCAACTTAATTAACTTTTCATTTTGTTTTATTTCGAGACAAGGTTTCACTGTGGAGCCCTGGCTGCCCTGGAACTCATTCTGTAAACCAGGCTGGTCTCGAACTCAGAGATCAGCTTGTCTCTGCCTCCCAAGAGCTAGGATTAAAGGCATGTGCCGTTGTGCTCACTAGAATTAACTCTTAGGGAGGAGACAATGGCACGTCTCCACCCAGAAATAGATTCCAGTCATTGGCTAGGAGGTAATAGCTTCCCCTTAATGAACCTTCAATATAACTACATTTCTCCCCCTCTGAAGATCCAACTCTAAAATCATTTAGGAGATGGGATGAAATTGGGAAATAAATATACACCCACCCAACCCACAGCTCTACTGCTGTCTTCCAGACAGCTTGACTTGGCCAGTGCAGTGTCAGTCCAGAGGGCTCCAACGTGGGGTCTAATTCTCAGTTCTTCCACCTGCTTTCCTGTAGGGATCTCCCCTAGCTTAGTGAATCCCCACAGCCAGGTCTTGATGAGATCACAGGCCATCAGATTGGAACTCTGGGGCTTTCATTTCCACTGAAATGCATGTTGGCTCTGCACCAGGCCTCTGAAGCCCTTGTACCACTCTGTCCTGTGAACGCATTTTGGGGTGATCCCTGTATTTAGTTTACTGGGCTGTGAGCTGGCCTTGCAACCGTGGCAGGTGTGATGGTTAATCTCACTTGTCAGCTTGAGAACATGCTTACGGAGGATTGTTTATCTCGGCTGAGATGGGAAAATACACCCACCATGGGAGGCACCATTCCCTTGGGAGTCTTGGAATGTTGAAGAAGAAGTGAGCTGAGCGCAGGCATTGTGATCTCTGCTTCCTGACTGTGAGTGCAGTGAGACCAGCTGCTTCAAACTCTTGCCACTTTGGCTTTTCCACCATAGCGGACAGTGACCTGAAACTGTGGCCTGAGTCAACTCTGAAGCTGCTCTTGTCGAGATATTTTATCACAGCAAAAGGAAAATAACTAAGAAAATTTGTACAGATGAGAGGGGCTGCTGTTGCTGTGATAAACCCAACCTCTGGAAGTGATTTGTGGGGGAAGTATAGAAGAGTTTGAAACTTTGGGCCAGAAAAGCTCTTGAATGCTGTAAGCAGCGCTTAATGAGCTATTCTGCATGAGCTTGGAAGGCAAGGATGCCAAGGGAACTGGCCTCTTTGGACTGTAGAGACTCAGTAGATGCAGTTTCAGAGGTGAACAAGGACTATCAGGAACTGGAATAGGGGCTCTTCATGTGATATTTTCACTAAGAATCTAGTTTCATTCTGCCCACATCCTGAGAACTAGAGTGAAGGAGAATTTAAAGGCAATGGATTAATTTGTTAGGAAGAGGGAATTTCAAGACAGGAGATCATTCAAGCTGGTTCAGAGAAAACAGATGTAACTGTTAAAAGGTCAGCACCACTGAAGAGAAACCTCCTGCACTGTACTGAGACAGTGAGGGAGTTGTTTTGAGGTATCCCCCATCTGTCTCGTCAAGATCCGAATTTATTTGAAGGTGAATGTGTAGAGGTGCCCCAAAACAGCTTGACCACACAGCTGCCATGACAGGCTTAGAGACCCAGACACAGCTTCTGTGGCAGGCTTACTGGCAGGCAACATCCAGACCCAGAAACACCCATAAGCTGACCTCACCCAGGGAGGGCCTACATCTAAGGGGAAGTACCTGACATTCCAAACATTCCAACCATTAGATGAGGTGGCCAGATGTCCCTGAGTCTAGCATACACCTATTTTGTTTTATAGATATCTCAAGACAAATGTCAACCAATCAGGGTCCTGAACCCTGGAAATACCCACATCCCAACCCCTGCTATGATAAAAACTCTACCCCACCTGAGCTCAGGGCTGTCTGCTCTCACCACTGGGTCGCATAGACAGAGAGACCAAGCTCGGAGCTTGAAAAAATAAAGGCTCTTTGCTTTTACATATGGGTTTCTGTCTCCATGGTGGTCTTTTGGGGGTCCCCCTCTCTGGGCATAACAAATGAACTGAAGGGATTCCTGGCTCCTCAAAAGTACCGCCTGCCTAGGAAAGTGCCCCAGGGTCAGAATACAGAAGCTCACACCGCTGTGGTCCAAGAGGGGTTGGCTGCAGCTTGAGCCCACGCAGAACTTGGCAGTGTTGTCCAGATAATACTGGTTTTTTAGTCATGAAAGCAGAGGTAGGTGGATCCCTGCCTCGAACCCACCCTGATCTACATAGTGAGGATAGCCAGGGCTGGTACACAAAGAAACCCTACCAAAAAAAAAAAAAAGAACAAAACAGGCTATATGTGTCACAGGCAGCAGAGCTGGAGAAGTGGGGCTACCTAAGTCCTTTGGTGCCCAGAAAATTATATCATGAGCTCCAGATGCCGGGCATGGAGCCAGCTACAGGATTTGGTGTTTAACCTATGAATTTTAGTGTTGCTCCAGCCTGATCATTCCTTACCATGCTCTATTCCTTCCAGTTTTGGAAGAGAAGGTTTGTTCTGTGCCATTGTATGTTGCTTTGTAGAATTTAACAGTTAAGAGGTTGCCTTGAGTCTCAGATGAGATGTGAGCTTTGGACTTTTCAGCTGTTGAGATTATTAAAGACTATGGGGACTTTTGAAGTTGTTTTGTGTCTTGCACTATGAGATAAGCATGAGATCTTAGGACAAAGAGTGAAGGTTATGATTTAAATGATACACTGGTGTCAAGTTGACAAGGGGTGGGATTTTGATGGTTTATCTCAATTGTCAACTTCATGAGATCTAGAATCACTTGACAGACAGGCCTCTGAGTATCCTATGGGGAACTGTCTCAATTAGGTTGAGGTGGGAAGACTCGCCCACTGTGGGAGGCATCATTCCCTGGGTGGGGTCCTGGAATGTACAGAAAGGGAAAAGTGAACCAAGAACAAGTACTCACTGCTCTGTTTCATGACTGTGGATGTCATGTGATCAGCTGCTTCAAGCTCCTGTACTTTGACTCCCATGCCATGATGGACTGTATCACTGAACTATGGGCCACAATAAACCCCTTGACCCTTACGCTGCTTTCGTTAGGGAATCGGTCACAGCGGCAGACCATGACTAACACAGTAGGCTATGCACACCAAGGCTACCCTGCACCAGGATCTTTATTACAGCAGGACAGGCTCTGAGGGAGGTGGAGTTGGAGGTGGTGTGGCAGGCTGAGAGGAAGGACCTGAGGGAGGAAGTAAGATAGGCTCAGAGTGAGAGGGTGATAAGGCACTGTCTAGGAGAGCTTGCCCGTGGTGGAATTTTCTGTTAGTGGAGGACACTGTGCTGGTGAAACTCAGGAAGATGTCCTCCAGAGAGACCTGGTTGATAGAGTAGTCTTCCAACATGTAATTCTTCTTGGCTTGTTCCATAATGCCAAACACCTATAGAAGAGGGAAGCCAGTTGCTGTAGATAAGTCTGCCCGTAGGTGATGTGGCAGACATAGGGACAGGTGATTTGGGAAAGTGCAGAGAGGACCACCCTCTGGAAGCTTGTGACAAGGCACTGAGTGCTGGTCTTGCTCAGCTACTATACAGAATCTCCAAAGGAGTCAAACCTGTGGAACTGGCTGTCTGCTCTTGGGATGGGAATGGTGGCAAGAAGGAGGTTTCCCGCTGTGTCTCTGCCTGCTACGTGACTGGGCATGAGGCTCCTCTCTAGGCCTGCTCCCTTCTCTCTGAAATCTGGGGGTGGGAAGAGCTGACTTGTGAGGCTCCTTCCAGCTCCTACCTTATGCTCTATGACTTCCGCACAAACACTTCCACGGTGTTGGCAGAGGACATGTGAATGCCACCTCTAGAGAGCAGGTGAAATGAGAGGCGCCCTCACCTTTGCCCAGCTGAGGTTGTGGCCAGGCAGGTAGTACTGGACCATGCCCCGGTGCTCATCTTCCAGACTGCTGCCTGTACAAAAGAGACCGCTTCTGTGAAGGCTGGACTGGAGGGCCAGAAAGGGCAGCCTGAGTGCCCAGAATCCCTAGACAGCCTGTGTGACAGCTAACAGGTCCAGGCAGAACATCCAGCACCATCACACACCTGGGAAAGTCAGTTCCACGAATGCCTTAAACTTCGTTAGCGCCTCCTGTTGCCATTCCCTCTGGACCTTGGCCTGCAGGGAGTAGCCACTGCCAAACTTGCTCTTGAGGTGTTGTGGGCTGCCCAGGCACTTGAACTGGCCCTGAACCATGATGGCCAGCCGGGTACATAAGGCTTCACACTCCTCCATACTGGGGAAAAGGAGAAAGCCTGAGACGGTGCTGGAGGAGGCTGATGCTCACCCTGAATGTCAAAGGCTTGTGCAGACAGGAGGGCACCTATGCCCAGACCAGGCCATTCCTGGTTCCCCATGCTGGATGCACCCACAGGCCGAGCCTGGGAAATGTCCTGGCTGACCCTGCACTAGCTGCTGCCATATCTTCTGCTCACCTGGTCCCACCCCAGCCACCCGTTCCGGCTCTGCCCCTGACCCACAGATGCCCAAGCTCTACCTGTGGGAGGTGATGACGATGGCCTTGCCAGACTCCCGGGCCCGGGCCACAGTGTCCCACAGCAGGCGCCGGGCCACAGGGTCCATGCCAGTGGATGGCTCATCTAGGAAGATGACTTCAGGCTCTCCGATGAGGGCAATGCCGGTGCTCAGCATGCGTTTGTTACCGCCACTGGAGGTGGATGGGTGACAGGTGGGGTCATGGAGAATGATAATTGTAGTCTCCAGTGTTGAAGCCCACTTGTTCAGCACCCAACTCTTTCCTTTTCTGAGGTGATTCTACTCTGGTGGGGCTTTCAAAGACAGCCCCATCGTCTTCACTCAGGTTGACCTTCACTGAGGGTCTAGATGGACCTAGATGTCCAGGTTGAGCATGTGGACATGGGACTTTTCAAGGGTCTCTATGAGTGCTGGGGGTAGGGCACTACCCATCTGAGAGTATAGGTATAGGGTCATTTTTGTTAACTGTTTTTCTTAAGACGCTCACTATGCAGTCCCGCCTGGCCTCGACTTCCCCATCCTCCTGACTCAGTCTCTCAAGAAGCACGGGGACCACAGGTGCACACCACCATACTGACTTTATTTATTTTTCTTAATTTTTAAAATTTATGTATATGTGTGTGTGCGCCTGCATGCAGGTACCCATGATGGCCAGAGGGCATCAGATCCTCTAGAATGGGATTTACAAGTGGTTCTGAGCTGCTTTGTGGGTGCTGGGAACTAAACCAGGGTCCTCTGCAAGAGCAGTGAGCACTCTTAACTGCCGAGCCATCTTTGCAGCACCCCCCCCACATTAAACTCACACAGCATTTACTGTGTGCAAAGCTCCAGTCTAAACCTTTTTTTTTTCTCCCCCAAAACAGGGTTTCTCTGTGTAGCCCTGGCTGTCCTGGATCTCACTCTGTAGACCAGGCTGGCCTGGAACTCACAGAGATCCACCTGCCTCTGCCTCCTGAGTGCTGGGATTAAAGGCGTGTGCCACCACCACCTGGTTTCTAAACTTTTAAATGTAAACTTGGTTGATCTTCAGAATATGCAAGGGGTTATGAAAAGCTGGGCAAGACTCAAGCCAACAGACTGAGGAAGGGGCAGGGACTCTTGATCTGACACCTTGGGTCCATCTGGCCAGTCAGAGGCACCTCTCCACTTTCCAGTTCTAAACACGGAGTACTGCCAGACACCTGCCCACAAGGTGTACAACTTGAGGGGAGGAGAGACTGTGAATGTGGCCAGTCAGTGCCTTGCTTTGATTAAGTTAATCTGAGTTAGGGTTCTGTTACTGGCAATGGTGATAAACCACCTCAGACTTCTTGGAAGGCATATCAGGATGAGGTAACTATGGGTCTAATAGGAAAACCTGCCAAAAATAGGAAGCTTGACATGAAGTAGCAGACACAAAGATCTGCCTACCCTATTGTTACAATTGCACATGAGAACATATGCCTGTTCTCAGCACAAAAATTGCCTCTGGCTTGGGATAGAGGCCAGTTCCCCCCAACCCTCATCTTCAGGGCATGGACTGCACAGCTCCTCAGTGCCTGGGGCTTTACTCCACTCCAGGACTGAGAACTGGGATTATCTTGCAAATGGAGGTGTGTGGGGGGTGTGAGGCAATCCCTAGATCTCACCTATAGGTCTTTACCAGCTTGTCTGCATACACACGCATGAGTAAGTCCTCGAGAATCTGGTCTACACAGGTTTTAATGTGGCACTCAGGGATGCCCCGGATACGGGCATACATGGCAAGTATCTCTCTTCCTGTCATGAAGTTTAGCAGGGCATCAAATTCAGGACAGTAACCAATCCACTGCCGCACCTGAGGGAGGGAGGGAGGGAGGGAGGGAGGGAGGGAGGGAGACGCATCAAAGTGAAGCCTCTTCTGGCTAGTTTCCCCCTGGCAACAACTCAGCAGTTCCAGGACACACCCTTGCCCTGGTGTGCCACTTTAGCTCTTGTTAATGTCCATGTCTACTCTAGGAACAGACACACAGCATGAGGGAGCCATGGGTGGGATGATGGCGATGCTGTTGTAGCCTTTGCTGGTAGTGTTGGTGAACAGGCTTCTAAAGGATGGAGGAGGAGGGGTGTGGCTTAGTTCCTCCTCCTGTCCATATGCCCTGAAAACAGAAGCACTCAGTGCCCCCAGTATTAGGAGTCAGGAGAAGCATCTTGGTTTTTACTTTTCCTCTTTTTTAAAAAAAGGTTACTTCTTATTATTATTACTATTATTATTATATGATGTGTATATGTGTAGAGGGAAGAATGGGTACAAGAATGCTAGGGTTCATAACTGGAGACCAGAGGCCAACTCTGTGGAGTTGGATCTCTCCTTATACCTTTAGATGGGTTTCAGAGGGAACTCAGGCTTTTGCAGCATGCCTTTACCCGCTGACCCATCTCATTGGCCCTTTCATTTCCTCTTTAGAAATATTTTCTATTAGACATGTAATCTATAAGTAGATTTTCTTCATGAAACATTTACATAAAGACCACTGGAGTCTCTGCCAGGGTCTGTGGTCTGGTTGGTGTGTATCCTCCAGCCTTCTGTGCTACTACAGAGTCCCACTCAGACATGCTCTCCTACAACAAGACTGTTTGTATAAAGTTTGTCAGATGACATCATCCCATATTTACCATTGCTTAACGTGCCTTTCTGACTGAATATCACAATCTACAGATCTTACGTTGCTGCATACAGCCCACTCCCAACTCAGTTTAGCTGCTATACATCCAGAGATTTTTAAAATATTCTTTTAAGATTAATTAAATTTGTTCTTTGTGAATTCCATGTGCATGTGCTATATAATGCATTCTAATTCTCTCATCTCTTTCCTACAGATACCCTTTCCACATTCATGCCTCTCTGTTTTGTTTTGTGACACACTGAGTTTAACCAGGGCTGCCTGTGTAAACATGGGTTTAGAACTACCCACGGAGCTTGGTGGACTCACTAATACCTGTATGGCTGAAGACAATGGCTTCCCCTCTCCCAGAATGTATCAATAGTAAATAGTTCAGCAGGGATGGATAAGGCCGGGGAAGTTTCTTAGATTTCATTTAGAAAATAACTAACGGGATTTTTAGACATATTTGAGTTACTTCTGTCTTTTGTTATTATACACGTAGAGCTCACCGCCCTGCTTTGTGCCCATGTTCAAGCACTGTTCTGTAGTAGACACTAAAATAAGGTAACACAGATGTTATGAGTTTTGTTTTTGCTTTTGCTTTTTTTTTGTTTTTTTGGTTTTTTGAGACAGGGTTTCTCTGTGTAGCTTTGTGCCTTTCCTGGAACTTGCTTTGGAGACCAGGCTGGCCTTGAACTCACAGAGATCAGCCTGCCTCTGCCTCCTGAGTGCTGGGATTAAAGGCGTGCCCCACCACCACCTGGCTTTGCTTTTTTTTTTTTTAAAGTCTAATTTGAAGCAAGCTGGCCCTTGAGTTTGTTCAATAAATAAATTGAGACACTTTAAAATAAAAAAAAATAAAAAAAAAAAGAAATGTGGTAAGTTAACTTAAAGAAAACAAAGGAATGTGACATTTGTTTTGTTTCGAGACACTCTCGCAGAGCTGGCTTCAAAATTCATACTCTTGCCTCAGCCTCAATATATGATACCTATATTAGGGGTGTGTCATTTCTTACATTTCTCACACACCTGAGTCCAGAGTGGAACGTACACCTATCACATAGGGTAGCTAATCTGGGATTGTCAAGGAGTACTATTTCTGTTTTCTAGGCAGGATCTTGCTATTTAGCCCAGTCTCATCTAAAATTTGGCATTCTCCAGCCTCTACCTCATAAGTATTGAGGTTACAGGTGTACGCATAATGCCCAGCTCCACTGAGTACTTTTTAGGGTAATCCATCTTGTATCATTTTTTTCTTTTTCATTTTATTTTATGTGTGAGTGTTTTCCCTGCATGTATTTATGAGTACCACGTGTGTGTGCTTGGTACCCACAGAGGTCAGAAGGGGGCATCATTCCTCTTGAAACTGGAATTATAGGTGGTTGTGAACCACAATGTGGGTGCTGGGACTCAAAACCAGGTCCTCTGCAAGAACAACAAGTGCTCTTAACCCCCGAGCCACCTCTCCAGCCCACCCACTGGAGCTTCTGTCAAACTGACACAACCTAGAATCACCCGGAGAGAAAAGTTTATGAGTAATAATTTAGATCGGTTTGGCTTCTAGGTATGTCTAGGGGTGTGTCTGGGTGGTTAACTGGTGCAGGAAGACCCCACCCACGGCTGGGGCACCACGACCTATAGAGAAGAGTGGCAAGCCAGCAAGGGTCCACGTGTTTATCGTCTCTCTGCTCTTTTTGTGGATGCACTGATGTGAGTTCCTGCCTTAAATTCCCTGTAATAATGGGTGAACCCTGGAATGGTAAGTCAAACAAACCCTTCCTCCCCTCAGCTGCTGCTTCTCGGGGTGTTTGCCACAGCAACAGAAATAGAACTAGAATGGCTTCATTTCTTTTTATGGCTGGTAAATTCCCCATTGATTTCTAAAATCTCATGTCTATTTGTTTATCAGTTGATGGACACTGGAGTTGCTTCCATTTTGGTTACTATGAATAACGTTTCTATGAATACTCTTGTAGGTACTTTTTCAGTTATTTGGAGTCACTCATTATATGCTTAACATTTGTATTATCTTCTATGATCATTTTAATCATTTAATTGAATGAATGAATTCATCTTAATTTACATAATTTGTCTTATCTATTTATTTTAAATGTTTTTAAAGATTTATCTTATTTTTAATTTTTAATTTTATTTTTATATGTATGGGTGTTTTGCCTGCATGTTGGTGTACCACATGGGTGTAGTGCCCGAAGAAGTCACAAGAGAGTGCCAGATTCCCTGGAACTGGAGTTACAGAAGTTTGTGGGCCACCATGTGGGTGCTGGAAATTGAACCTGGATCCTCTGGAAGAGCAGCCAGTGCTTTAACTGCTGAGCCATCTCTCCAGACCTAGATTTACATTTTTTATTTTATGTGTGTGTGTATGTCTGGGTGTATGTGTGTGCACTACATTCATGCAGGTGCCCATGAAGCCCAGAAAAGGGTATTGGATCACATGGAACTTGGAGTTACAGGTGGTTGTGAGCTTCCATGTGGGTGCTGGGCACCAAACATGGGTCCTCTGAAAAAGCAGCCAGTGCTATTAACTGCTAGCCATCTCTCCAGTGCTATTTATTTATTTACTTATTTATTTTTGAGACTAGGTCTCACTATGTTATAGTGTCTGTAACTTGCTGTGTTGACCAGACTGGTTGGAACTTGCAGAGATCTTAAACTATGTGCCTCCCACTGTTGGGATTATAAGTTTATGCCACCACATCCAACTAGAGTCCATTTTTATTTAATGTAACTATTAATACATGTGGATTTAAGTCTATAATCCTATTCAGTGTCATCTACCTATCCATCATCTATGAATGAATGACATGAAAGTAGAATGGACACTACGACTGGGTAGAAATGGGCTAAAATGAGGGGGAACAAAAATAATGGAACACGCTGACAAAAGCATAAAGAAAGACTGTTTATAGGGAGGGAGGTGATGGGAGAGGGCAAAGCAACTCTGGGGATGGAGGCTGGAGAAGCTGCACCCATAAATGAAATCAGACAGACTTTATAGGTTTAGGGGAGGGGTGATGACATGTCTGTCACAAGCTGGGTTTGTACCCAGATATGGTCAAAAGCTGAGCTCCTTCAGTGGGGACTTGTGTGGCTGGCAACTTAAGGGGAGGAAGATGCTGTAGCCGCCAAGAATGAGGAACTAGGCACTCAGGAGAAAGAGGCAGGTTGATCTTTGAGTGGGAGGCCAGCCTAGTCTACAGAGAGATTCTTCCAGGACAGTTAGGCTACACAGAGGAAACCCTGTCTCAAAAAAACAAAAAACAAACAAACAAAAAGAAAAGAAACTCTCCATGACACATAATAATCAAAACACTAAATGTGCAGGACAAAGAATGGAAATTGAAAGCTTCAGGTTAGAAAGAATACGTAGCTTATAAATGCAGGCTTATCAGAGTAACACCTGGGTTTTCTTTTTCTTTTTTTTCTTTTTTTTTGAGACAGGGTTTCTCTGTGTAGTTTTAGTGCCTGTCCTGGATCTCACTCTATAGACCAGGCTGGCCTTGAACTCACAGAGAACTCTGCCTCCCGAGTGCTGGGATTAAAGGCGTGTGCCACCACTGCCCGGCAACAGGTAGTTTTTCAATGGAGACTTTGAAAGCCAAGAGAAACTGGAATGATGTTCTACAAGTCCTGGAATACTACAGATGCCAGCCCAGACTACTGTATTTAGGGAAACTATCAGTCATGGTTAAAGAAGATAAAAATGCTTTGTGATAAAACAGATATAAGAGGGTTGCTTTGCTCAAACAAAGCTGTTCTTACACTTTTTCAGTTTGGCTTGATCTGGCTTACTGCATCTGTGGAGAAACCAATTATGGGGGTGGGGGGCAGAAAACCTAGTATGATCATCTGAACAAACTAAGTAGAGAAACTCTGGAGTTAATAATACCATAAATCAAAAGAACATAACACATCCTCAGAACATTCCATGCTCACATTACAGAATACACTTTCTTCTCAGAAACCCATGGAACTCTCTCCAAAATTGAGACATAGGAGGGCACAAAGAAAGAAGCAACAGACATAGAAAAACTGAAGTGACATCCTGCATTTCATCTGACCGTGAAGAACGAAGCTGGACACCACCACCAACAGAAACCACAAAAAGTGCACAGTCACGGACTAAGCGACACACGTGAATGGAGATCAGGTCAAGAAGGCAATGAAACACTTCCTGGAGGTGAACGGAAGTGAGAACGCGACAGACCCAAATCTAGGGGACACAGTGAAGGCAGTGCCTAGAGCGGCGTTTGCAGCCCTGAGCGAGCACCAAGAACTGGGTGCTCCCACTGACAATTAATGCCACCCTCGAAAGCGTTAGAAAAACAAGAACAAACAACACCCAACAAAAGTAGACTGGGGGCTGGAGAGATGGCTCAGCGGTTAAGAGCACTGGCTGCTCTTCCAGAGGTCCTGAGTTCAATTCCCAGCAACCACATGGTGGCTCACAACCATCTATAATGAGATCTGGCACGCACAGAACACTGTATACATAATAAATAAATAAATCTTAAAAAAAAAAAAAAGAGTAGACTGGAAGAAATTACCAAACCCAGGGCTGAAACAGAAATGAAAAACAAAACAAAACAAAGAAATCAACGAAACAAATTATTGTTTCTTGAAAATGTTAACAAGTTTGTCAAAAGTTTAGCCAAATTAACCAAAAGGGGAAGAATTTCCAAATTAATAACATTAGAGACAAAAATTAAGACATTACAACAGATAATGAGGAAATTCAGAGAATCGCAAGATCATGCTTTAAAAATCTGTATTCTAACAAACTGAAAAAAACTAAAAACATGGATGAATTTCCATATACATATGACCCACCAAAGCTAAATCCAGGTGAAGTAGATAATTTAAATAGACCTACAACATCCAATGAATTAGAAACAGTAGTTAAAAATTTTGCCACATGTCAGGCAGTGGTGACTCATGCCTTTAATCCCAACACTTGGGAGGCAGAGGCGGGTGGATCTCTGAGTTCGAGGCCAGCCTGGGCTACAGAATGAATTCCAGGACTGCCAGGGTTACATAGAGAAACCCTGTGTCAAAACAACAATAGCAAAAACAGAATAACAAAAGAAGGAAAAATTTCTGTGTGGGGTCTCTTGCTGCAGCAGCTCAAGTGTGAGAGCCACAAGTGTGGACTCAAAGTAAGACTCCTGGGAGCACAAAAAGAAAAAAGGAAGGCAGACAAGCCAGTTTCTGACTGAGATTGATACTTTCAATTAGGTCAAACTGAAGAAAATGGAGAACACCCTGTCTACCAAAGAGACCACTGATCAGGAAAGGCAGTAATTTTCCTAAAAGCCCAGACTGGAGGATTCGCCCATGTCACCCTGTCATCTGCAAGACTCCCTCATGATGTGGAGGAAGATTCACCTACATGATAGACCCCAGCCACAAACTACACTGTAAACCCAGGCACTCCATACCAATGCAACCGCTGGGTGTCTCTGGAAGGGAAACCTCCACCAATCAGACTGTCAGATTTCACTGGTTTGCCCTGGGATGTTATAGAAACTTATTCATATGATTAATGAAAATAAAACATACCTCATGGCAATAAAAAACAAATTCTGCATGTGTGATGATGGAGGTGGAATCAAGGACTTGATGCATGTTGGCATGGAGTTTGAGCTACTTCTCCAAAGTGGCTTTTTCTTCAAGTACAGTTTCATGCAGCACATTGCTACCTACCCTGGAGTGGGTTATTACCTACACTGGGGGTGTCCTCTGCCTTCTGGTCTGGGTTCAGAAGTCTGATGCCAACCTAAATGCTGTTCTTAAGGTAACCCACTATTTATTTATTTATTTATTTTTGGTTTTTGAGACAGGGTTTCTCTGTGTAAGCCCCTAGGCTGTCCTGGGACACACTCTGTAGATCAGGCTGGCTTCCAATTCACAGAGATCTGTCTCTGCCTCCTTAGTGCTGGGATTAAAGGCATGCGCCCTCACTGCCTGGCCTCCACCTTTCACTTAGATTTACCTTAGATCTTCTCTTTTGGATTTGTTTACAGAAGTTTTACTGTAGTTGGGTTTCTTTTTTGTTTGTTTGTTTCTTTTTGCTCTTTGGGGGCTTGCTACCCAGCTCCCAAATAAATACATGGAGACTTATTCTTACTAATGAATGCCCAGCCTTGGGTTAGGTTGTTTCTACCCAGCTTTTCTAACTTAAATTAATCTGTTTCTCTTTAACTATGTTTTGCCTCTGGGCTTTTTACCTTTCTTAATTCTATATGTCTTTCTTAACTTCTTACTCCGTGGCTGGCTGGGTGGCTGGCCCCTGGTGTCATCCTCTCCTTCTCCTTTTCTCACTCCCCTCCCTTCTCTGGAGCCTAGATCTCTCCTCCTATTTATTCTCTCTGCCTGACAGCCTTGCCTGTTCCTGTCTCCTGCCTCGCTATTGGCCGTTCAGTTCTTCTTCTACACAGAGACAGGGTTTCTCTGTGTAGCTTTGGAGCTGTCCTGGAACCCACTTTGTAGATCAGGCTGGCCTCGAACTCACAGAGATCCGAGTGCTGGGATTAAAGGCGTGCGCCACCACCTCCTGGCTCAGCTCTTTATTAGACTATCAGGTAGCACAGCTTTACAAAGTTAAACAAATGCAACATATAAGAATGTAACACATCTTTGCATCATTAAACAAATATTCCACAGCATAAACAAATGTAACACATTTTAAACTAATATTCCACAACATTTTACTATAAAAATATTCTTTGGAGCCAATTCTTTTTTTATTTATCCTGTTTATGGTCAGCAGGGCATCACTCACTTATAATCTATTGTCTTTTACAGTGTTGGATACATTTTAGCTATGAACTTCAAATACTGTTTTGTCTTCCTTCCTCAGGCTTCAACCACAAACATATTAAACAGCCTCACTGACAGAATCCCAGAACTGAACTCGTAGACAGAGGCAGGAGGATATCTGTCTAGATAGTTCCAGGCAAGTCAGGGCTACACAGTGAGACACTGTCTCAAAAACAAACAGCCAGGAGGTGGTGGCATATGCCTTTAATCCCAGAACTCTGTGAGTTTGAGGCCAGCCTGGTCTACAGAGTGAGTTCTAGGACAGCCAATGCTATACATAGAACCCTGTCTCAAAAAACCAAAAACCAACCAACCAAACAAGCAAAACAAAAATCTTCTCACTGTATGCTTTTATATATAATGTATGTGTAGATATATAAAAAGAGGCTGTGGGGATTGGCTTGCACAGTTATGGAAGCTGAGTTCTACAATTTGACACATAGGACTAGAGTTGGGGTGGATATGTGGCCACTTGGGAAGCATCAGCAAGTGGATGGTAATGGGAGCCAGAGAAACCAAAAGGACTAAGCAGGGAGAGAGTTTGAGGACATTGGGATGTACATACAGCACCTAGGAACACAATAACCTTCAGGAACAGATAACCATCTACCAAAGGAGCCAGGTATGGTGGCACATACCTATAATCCCAACCTTTGGGATCTCATGTTTGAGGTCAGTCTAGATTACATCATGAAACTCTGTCTCAAAGCAAAACAAAAGATTTACTAAGAGTGTCTGAGAAAGAACTGTTAGTGATGGAGTTGAACAAGAGAGAGGGAAGCTGCGGAGTAAGCAAAAGAAGGCTTAGGCTTGAAGTTGGAAAAGGGCAGCGCTACCAAGTTCTACAGAGAAGGAAGATACAGACTAGGGTGACTATAGTAGACATGGGTTTAAGGGAGCAGATCTGAGGGTTTTTTGGTGGGAGCTTCCATGCACCATGGTTGCCAACTGGATAACTTGGATGGTACCTTGAATGACAGGTGGGTGTGTATTCTCTCATTGCTATGGAAGGACAGAAGGAGGAGGAGGAAGACAAGGGAGGGGAGATGCTATGGGGGCTCACTGTGGTTCCTGCAGGCACTTGAGAGATAGTGTTATGTAAGCAGCTAGACATCTGACCTAGAGTTCAGAGAGGCATCTAAGATGCATTTAGATTTGGGGGTTACAAATGAAAGAGACACATGGACGTTTTAGAGATCAAGTTCTAAGCTTCATGACCCTGAATCCTGTATCAGTCCCCAAGATTTGTTGCAGGCCACACCCACCTTCACTAGGTCAGACTTGACATTGAAACCCTTGACAAAGGCATTTCCTGAAGTGATGGGCTGCTCCCCAGTCAGCATGTTGAAAATGGAAGTCTTCCCAGCTCCATTGAGGCCCAGAAGGCCAAAGCATTCTCTTTCATTAACGGTGAAGGACACCTTGTTTACAGCCAGCACAGTTACCTTCTCTTTATAGACCTGAGAGACACAAGGCAGAGATGCAGAGAGGAGGCTGGCATCCAGCAGCCACTACACACTCGACCTAGCAGGTGTAAGCAGCTTCTTATGACCCAAGCTCAGACTATCGTCTCCTTCCAGCCACTGTCCCGTAAAGTTCCCTTTCTTCCTACAGCCCCTGAACATTGTGAACTTAGTTATTGGAGGTAAGCCATTTCCCTTTGCACCTGAGCAAATAAAACCCTTTGATATTGCTGAAGAGATTTTTGTTTGGTTGGCTTGGTTTTTTGTTTGTTTTTGTTTTTTTTCTAAGACAGGGTTTCTCTATATAGCTCCAGCTGTCCTAGAACTTGCTCTGTAGACCAGGCTGGCTTCAAATTCAGAAATCTACCTGCTTCTGTCTCCCTAGTGTAGGCAGAGTTTTTGTCGTTCAGGACCACAGTGTGATCAGCTCTGTTCTGACAGCTGCCACTCAGACACTTAGTATTTTTCATAAATACTAGACTAATAATAGCTCAGGATTATTACTAACTAGCTCTTACAACTTAAATTAACCCATTTCTATTAATCTATGTGCTGCCCTGAGGCTCCGTGGCATTTACCTCTCCTGCATGTCATCTTTCTTTCCCATCTGTTTGGCGACTCCCCTGACTCTACCCTTCCCCCCAGCATTCTCTCTGCCCCCCAAATCCTGCCTAGCCATTGGCCAATCAGCTTTTTATTAACAATGAGAGCAACACATATTTACAGTGTACAAAGACTAGTCCGTGGCACCCCAGTGCTGGGATCAAAGGCATGCACCACCACTGCTGTTTTTGTTTTTTAACCACTAGATACCGAAGGAAAACAACATGATTGACAAACCTGGGGGGAAATGCTATAAAACACCTGGACGTTTGAAAGATATTTTGAATTGTTTCCTAGGAATCTCAAAGAAACCCGGGGGCTCCATTTAGTTTCCAGAACCCTTAGCCCACCTGGCGCCTCTACGGTTGTCATCTGGGTACAAGAGGTCAAGCCTCTCGCAGCTCTCCTCTTCTTCTTTTCCTGTTTTGGTTTTTCAAGACACGGTTTCTCTGTGTAGCTTTGGTGCCTGTCCTGGAACTTGCTCTGTAGACCAGGCTGGCCTCGAACTCACAGAGAGCCACCTGCCTCTGCCTCCTGAGTGCTGGGATCAAAGGCGTGCACCACCACCGCCTGGCTATGTCTCTCCTCTTCTTTCTCAGGTTTTTTAGCAAGCATGGCTCTCATTCTCTACTATCTCAGACCTCTCTTTATCCAGGTGACCACAGAAGGGACAATAAAGGTACAACAGGCTCTGTCCCTGGGCATAACATGAACTTAGGTGTGCTTTCTTCTCAGGCAGAGAAACCTCACTAAGTCTGTCTTTCCAGGAAGCCCATCTGCCACTGTGGACAGGCCATAAGCCCAGGAGAAGGCTGATTCTGTGTGTAAAATGCCCAAAAGAAAAGTATCTTTTGGGAGAAACCGATGGCTTAGCAGTTAAGAACACTGACTGCTCTTCCAGAGGACCTGGGTTCAATTTCCAGCACCCACACGGTGGCTCACGATCATCCATAGTCCAGTTCCAGGGGATGTGATGCCCTATTCTGGCCTCTGCGGGCACCAGGTGTGCACATAGTGCACAGACATGCAGGCAAAACACTCAAACATAAAATAAAAACACTTTGCCAGCCGGTAGTAGTGCACACCTTGAATCCTGGCACTCAGGAGGCACAGCCAGGCAGATCTCTGTGAGTTCAAGGCCAGCCTGGTCTACAGAGTGAGATCCAGGACAGGCACCAAAGCTACACAGAGAAACCCTGTCTTGAAACCACCCCCGCCAAAAAAAGAAAAGTATCTTGCTTTCTAAAGTCAACTATAAGATTGCAATCAGAGTATTCAGGAAGCAGGGGTAGGAGGATCATGACTTCAAGGTCTGTGTAGGCTGCCTAACAGGACCCTGTCCCAAATCAAACAGACAAACAGAAAAAGGAGCAAAGCTGAATCTAACTTTACCTTTGACACGTCTTTAACAATAAGTGGATTTTTCTTTAGTAATGTTTCCAAATAAAACTTGATGGTTTCTGCCTCATCTAGTACATCTTCGTCTTCTGGCTCTGTTACATTGAGGAATGTCCCCTGTGTTCCCGAGACAAGGGTAGACATGTAACATTTACAAGGGTAGAAGGTAGAACTTGACTGGAGTCAGAAGGGATTGGGCCTCTCGGGTACACCCCGAAGGAAGGAACTGAGACCAGGAGGAGGCAGGCTTGCAAATCACAAAGCATCAGCTTTTGAAGAAAACAATTTTTGTTGTTGTTTGTTTTTTCAAGACAAGGTTTCTCTGTGTAGTTTTGGTGCCTGTCCTGGATCTTGCTCTGTAGACCAGGCTGGCCTGGAACTCACAGAGATCGGCCTGGCTCTGCCCGAGTGCCGGGATTAAAGGTGTGTGCCACAACTGCCTGGCTGAAGAAAACAAATTTAAAGCCCAGGAAAGTGAAGATGTCACAAAAGCCCATATCCCTCAGTTTCCTCTGGAGGGTGTTGGTTCCTCGGGCTAACAGAACAGGCCTTTCCTGGTCTGCTCATAGCTGACTGCAGAGGAGGTGTTTCACAAGGGGAGTGATCTAGCGAGCCAGGGTCTTGTTGCTATTCAGCTGAGGAGCCGGCCCTTAAAACACCCCAGGGGGCCATATGTGGACCAGGGTCTCAGGGGCCTGGTCAGGTTCTTCTCCTCCTCTGGAGGTCTCTGGGCACGGGCTGTCACCTCTCTGCCCTGGGATTAAACAGATGGGCTCTGGGATCCCTCTGATATGGAGAATCAAGACAGCTAAAGAACACAGGAAGGAAGCTCCAGAGCAGTGGTTCTCAACCTGTGGGTTGCGATCCCTTTGAAGGTCAAACAACCCTTTCACAGGGGTTCCATATCAGATACCCTGCATGTCAGATATTTACATTAGGATTCATAACAGTAGTAAAATCACAGTTATAAAATAGGAATGAAAGTAATTTTATGTTTGGGAGTCACTACAACATGAGGAACTGTATCAAAGGGTCACAGCATTGGGAAGGTTGAGAACCACTGCCAGGCCTTGACCTGTTTTTACATGACTTTCACCTCTATTTACTCACCATTTTTTTTCCCCTAGAAAATCCAGAAAGCCTGGATTTCAGTACGGAGAATGTATTGGCTTCAATGAGGAAAATCAGGATAATGTACAAAAGTCCCAAGAAAGCCAAAGCTGTCAGGTACTTCCCTATCCCCAGAGATTCCCAGGCATAGATGTTCTTTTGAACCACATATCCTTCTGCTGATAAGAAAGAAACAGATGTTAGCACACCTTTTTGGAGATTTTCAAAGTTTCCACATCTTTATAGATAGCAAGTAAATTTCCATAGTAATAAATATTACTAAAAGAAGCATCATCACTGCTTATCACCACATCCTAGCAAATGGTAAGCAAGAATATTTTTCCTTGCTGTAACCAATGCTCTATGAAAACAATGCAATTTGCTGAGCATGGTGGGTCACACCTGTAATCGCAGTACTTAGAAGTCTAAGGTGGGAAGATCATCATAAACATGAGATTTTCTGGACTATTTAGCAATTCCAGGGAATCCTGAGATATATGTGAGAGACTGTCTTAAAACAACAACAAACAAACAAACAAACAAAACAACATCCACATTTTATGTGTATAGGTGTTTTGCCTGCATGTGTGTCTGTATATCATCATGTGCATGCCTGGTGCCCACAGAGACCCAAAGAAAACATTCCCTAGAATTGGAATTACAAATAGTTATTAGTCACTATGAGGGTGCTGGGAATTGAACTCAGAGCTTCTGGAAGAGCAGCGAGTGCTCTTAACGGCTGAGCCACCTCTCCAGCCCTTAATTTGTAAAATTATGTCTGTTTACGTATTTATTTACTTATTTGTGTGCACATGTGTGTATGCATAGGGCAGGGGGCATATATGCTACAGCAAGTTTGGAGGTTAGACAGCTTGTGGGAGTCCATCCTCTCCTCCCACCAGCGGAGTCCCGGGGTCAAACTTAGGTCGTCAGACTTGGCAGCAAGCACTGAGCCATCTCACTGGCCCAGGTATTATCTTCTCAAATAAAAATGGAATAATATTATGCATTTTCTTCTCCAATGTACTTGCTTCACTTAATATAAAATGGACATGGACCACATAAGAATATACAGATAAGCCGGGTGGTGGTGGTGGTGGTGGTGGTGGTGGTGGTGGTGGTGGTGGTGCACACCTTTAATCCAAGCACTTGGGAGGCAGAGCCAGGCGGATCTCTGTAAGTTTGAGGCTAACCTGGTCTACAGAGTGAGATTCAGGACAGGCACCAAAACTACACAGAGAAACCCTGTCTCAAAAAAAAAAAAAAAAAAAAAAAAAAAAAAAAAAA